CTCACTATTTATATCAAAAATAGATTTGTATAACATATACCAATTTGATGACCCGTATAACCTTACAATATTTATCAGGAGGTAAAACAAACACGTTGATTAGACATGTAAGAAAAAAATAATAATGTTTAAACCCCAATTTTCCTCAAAAGATTTCATCTATTCTGGATAACGTAATGTTCGGTTTTTAGGATGGAAATGCTTAATTCATAAAAAACGTTTGATTGTTGGGGTTCCCAATGAGTATAAGAAACACATGTCTAATAAAAATATTAGAGGCAATACATGCACAAGTACAATACGTTTGAAAAATACACAAAGACGTACATACTGTATATCATCTTTCTTTGAAATTTATATTACGAAAAAAACCTACTCTCTTAATCTGAAGTTCTTTATATGCATAAAAAGATCCTCAATTATTTGATTTTGTGGCGATCAGTTTTTATTGGTAAAGGACAGAAAACTCACTCTCTTAGTCAATTAATATTAAAATTGATCGCACCTGCCACATGCGGAATTTTAACTTCAGTGTTGACAGGCTAGTAATATAGTAGTGGGATGTGATAAAAGACACATAGAAAACTACATTATTCATTGTAGTTCATTAGATACAATACGAAACATATAAAAATAGATAATAATTTTCGTTACACTTAAAAATATTCGTGTTTTTTTTTTTCTCTAAATGCGATGAGGAAGATTCAATCGGTTGTACCGAAGAAAAAAAACATATTTGGGTCTTTTCAAATATCATATCAATAAAATGAAAACTTTAGTGATGGTCACATATCAGTTTAAAGAATTATCGTATGAAATGGAGTAAGAATAAATTAAAGTAAAATTGGCATTTGTTTTAGATATTGCCATGTTATTTTTTAAACATATGTTACCATTTTCCGAATATTAAGTTACAAATTTTGAAAAAAGAATATGCAGACCAATGCGTAAATACTCAATATACTTGGCTTTCAAATATCAGGCTATGAGTGTCCTTGAAGACGGAAAATCCAGAAAATCGCTTTAGACGAAAAAATTTTATTACGTTTGGTTTTAATTTTGTACATATCTGTAACATTAACAAGACAATTATAACGTTACTTCAGTCTCGATTGGTCTAACGAATGACTTTAAAATTGGCATTTGCTGCTTCTCCACCCATTAGGCTGCATTCTGCAGTACGAGAAAAGATGGGTACACTAAAATGCCTTATAGATATCATGGCGGTCTGCTTAAATATGAATCATGTTCACCTATAATTATATTTCAAGGGAAATGTTCCGTCAACGTTACGAGCTCCAATCGTACATTTTTTATGAAGTTCAAGATTTTTGGTAGAATGGTTTAAACGCATGGATTATATAAGCTTATGGATGTAATCCTATTATGTTTCAGTCTCGTTGAATTCTAGTTCGGGAATTATTCTAAAAACATGTGATACAAGTGGAAAATATCAATGAATTTAAAAAAATTATAATCAAACCAAACTCTGGGAAAAAATTGTGTACTTTAAATAAGTAGTTTTTGAGTAATACAATTTTCAACTTTTATAATCAGTCCGGTCAGAGTCATCTTCCAAATAATAGTTTCTGTCTTTAGAAAAGTCTCTAGAAACAAATTAAAGTAGTTATACCAAAGAAGTAAGTTGTGCAAACCAGGATCATTCGGGCGTGTTTGAATCTACTTTTGTAACTATATAATGTATTAATACAAATTAAGAAAACATGAGAAAATAAAATTGCTTTAGATGTCACCATGTTTTTTCAAACTGAATTGTGATTTAATAGTTTTTAAAAAAATCACACTTAATAACATATACGAGTTACATCAAAAGTAAAATTACAAAAAAACGAACTCCAAGGGAAATTTCAAACGGAAAGACCTTTATAAAATGGCAAAATCAAAAGCTCATACATATCTAACGAATGCAAAACAACTGTCATATTCCTGACTTGGTACAGGATTATTTTTTATGTAAAAATGATCAGTGTTGATTGTTGAATTTGCTTACAGGTAACTGTATTATTCATTCTCTATTAAAATGTTGTTCTTAATCAAATCCTCTTTTTATTAACAAAATATATAAAGAAAAATAATGTTTACAATAGCAGATTTGGATTAAATTCTGAAGAAAACTCTTCTAGGAAAACTTTCTACTCATTGAAAAACAATAAATGTAGTCTATTCATCCATTCGTTATGCTTTAACGCAATGTCACACGTTTAGAAAGGTCGGTTACTAGCAAAGAATTTCATTGTTTTGGAAATCATATCCCTGACATTTGATCCTAATCACATTGATGCCAAAAATCTATATCACACATGAATGAGAAAAAGTGAAATCTTACATCTCACTGAAAATTCGTTTTATTCATAAATGTTTTTGATATAACTGAATACTACTAGTAGTTCCTGACAGACAATGTTCAACTTAGCTTTATATACTTATGATGATTTAGATAATAAGGGCTAAATTTGAACATGGTCCTGAATGTAATATTTTCAAGAAATACTTATAAATATAAAAGTGAGATACAAAATCATTTGTACTTTCAGAAAAATTAAACGGCGAGATTTGCACTGAAAGTAGACAATGCCATGCTCTATTTATATGCATACATAATAGATGTAGCTGTCCGTCAACACAGTATTGGAATGGAACAAGTTGTTTACAAAGTAAGATGTACAAAGTCATCAATTACAAATGCCTACTCTCTAAAATGAATCAAATAAACTCATCATATATACCAGGATTGAAAATTTGTATTTGCGCCAGACGCGTGTTTCCTCTACAAAAGAATCATCAGTGACGCACGAATCGAAAAAAAGTTGAAAAGGCCCAAAAAATTACGAAGTTGAAGAGCATTGAGTGAAACTGGAACAGCTTTTATTTTTTGTTTACCAAGTCATGATGATTAATATTTCACAATATTGACTATGATATATATGAAATAAATGCCTGTGAATTGAACCAATAATGATTCGTCAAATTGCACGTTGATAAATGAAATGAGCATCAAGTAAAACATCAATGATTGGTCAATTAGATATCAAAATAAAACGGAATATTTTATATGTATACTACTAAACGTAAAATGGCGAATTCACAATAATTAAAATATACATAATAAGGTTATTCTTATCAACATATATCAGTTTTTGTTTTAAAGAGAAAAGCATGAACTTTACTTGTGGTGCCTCTGTAGAATGCTTAGAAAGCTTGTTTTGTCTACATGGAAAGTGTAAATGTGACCATGAGTTTGATTACTGGATGGGTTCAGCATGTACAAAAAGTATGTTGACAATATTTATATCAATAACCAATGTTTGAGAGGAGGGTTGAAACAAACGTTACTTTTAATCCCGTAGTGGATCAAACAGATCTTTTTATTTGATATATCTTTCAAATAAAGCAAGATTTAAGAATCAATAATACTACAATGAAAAACAAATCCAGGATTACTATGAAAATGGTTATCTTAATATTTGAAAGAGCATTTAATCAAAACTCGAATACTATTTTTAGGATACATAACTGAATGTGTATTCGCTAAAGTATTCTTATGATAATAACTCAATTGTTGTTTTTGTTGATCATTTTTTTAAAGAAACTTATAAGACAACTACTTTGGCTCTAAATTGATAAATACATAGTTACATTTTATATCATATAACTCCAACTTCCATTCATATCACGAACTTGATACCTATCTGCTATCTTGCAGGTTTGAAAGCTACCACGAACTAATGTTTTGATAGCTATATCATCAAGTAACTATTCTATTTCAGGAAAAAGTTTTAATTGTACGTGTGCTTCAACTGAGGAATGTGAAACAACTTTTCGGTGCACTAATAAGAAATGTGTTATGCATCAATCTCAGAATATTGGTCTGGTTCACAATGTTTAAGTGAGTATCTTTGGTGTGTTTCCACAACCACCTTTTAAACGCTACTGGTGTTTATCGTTGTTCCCGTGGGTTTAACGTTCCTAGTAGACAGCGTATCTTCGATGATATGAGATTGTTGACATATGAGATTAGTTTTAAAATAAAACATAAATGAATGGATGACTTCATGTATGAATAAGTTAACCTGTGGACATTGCTGGTACATTTTTACTATTAATCGAGATGACAAAATCTCAAATGATAAAAATATATGCAACTGTTTACCGTGTAGAAGATGATTTAAACTCACAAACAATATTCTTGCTTAGGAGATGCAATCATATTCTCATATTTGTTTAATTGTTTTGTTTTTTGATTTTGGTTGTGATTTAATATAAACCCAGAATCTCTGATTCAATACACCAAGGTGGATTTAAACGACATGATATTTGATAAATGTGAAATTAAACAAGACACGGAAAGACAACTTGAAATACATTATATTTTGTTAATCAACAAGCATTACTTGAAAAAGCATAAGATATCAACAGTGAAACTAGTTTCTAGAAGAATAAAAAACAAGTTGCAACTACTTTTATACTGACAAGCCTGGTATCTGTGATGAGTTTTTAAAAATGAATATTTAAAAAATCGAAAACAACATGTTTAATAATTTCATGCGTCCGAAGCGCTTTTCTAGATTTACCTTCATCAGGAACGCTCAAAGCCAAACATTTGAAATCCGAGGGATGTATAAGTACCGAAACAGTTGAAGAGCTATATGACAAAAATACCTAAAACAAATAGCCAAATTCATCTAAGGTCAACTTTGCCTGAGGGAGTTGAAACCTTAGTTTCTTTATAATTTCAAAATTTAACAACGGACAATTTTAAAATGGGACAAAGTAACCATTATCTCAGAAAATATTCTAATAGACTAAGATATTGACACTCGGTTAATTATTTTTTCCATGGTTTAACATGTTTTATGTCAGGAAATAATTAATATTATGTTAACAATTACTTGGTTTATTTCATATTCAATCTTATGATTGTTCCTACATACTACACACCAAAACATGACTGTTGATTGATGTTTGAGTATATTTGACAGGAGGCAGGGAATGTGCTGACCTATCAATAACAAACGATGGTGTATACACAATATATCCAAATGGTAATAATCAGGCAATTCAAGTTTATTGTGTAGTACGGCAAGGCTTCAAATGGACGGTAAGTTTACGATGATGTAAATTTCATATATATATATATTTAGATATACAACGTTGTTGTGCTGATATTTTAGAGTAATAATGAATATAATATATGCTTTCAGTCATGATGGGTGGACATGTCGTAGAGTTGTAGAAACGTTCTTATCAGTTTTATCTTTTATATACTATCTGCGTAATAATTTTTTTTCTTAGAGTAATTATGAATATAATAACTACATATATATATATATACAATGTATGCAGATTCTAACAGTGCATAGAATGTATTACGAGTATTACGATATTTTGCCACTCGAGACTGTTAAATTTTGAAAGCAAGGCTCGTAACTGTTGAGTGTGAACAAATTTTCTATTGCCCGAGATTTGGTGATGTAATCTATTTTTTTAAATGATTTAAGGAAGATATGTAAACAAACTTTATCTTTCTTTTGGAATAATCTCCAAACGAAAGAGTTTAAAATGTGATGTCATCTGGCATGATCGCTTTTTTTCGATACGTCATAATAAGAATTGCATAGGAAAGCAAGAACATTGAACGTTATATTTGATTTTGCCCAATACAGAGCTGAGTTCAACAAAACCACAAGTTGATTGTAAAAAAACAATCAACCACCCGTGTTAAAAGTAAAATAACAAAAAAATAGAACTCCACGGAAATTCAAAAACAGAAAGTCTCCTCAAATAGCAAACGGCTCAGAAAGAGAGGCGAAAGATAGCAAAGGGTATAATCAAACTCATAAGTCAAAAATGAACTGACAATGCCATGTCTACAAAAGGGAAAAACAACAGACTAACAACAGTGCACATATAGCATACAAAACTAAAGACTGAAGCAGCACGAACCTAACCAAAAACTGGGGGGATCCAAGGTCTTCGGAATGGAAAGCAGATAATGTTCCACATGTGGCATCAGTCGCATTGCTCATGTTGGTAAAACCCGTTGATAATAAAATTGAGAATGGAAATGGGGAATGTGTCAAAGAGACAACAACCCGACCATAGAACAGACAACAGCAGAAGGTCACCAACAGGTCTTCAATGCAGCGAGAAATTCCCGCACCCGGAGGCGTCCTTCAGCTGGCCCCTAAACAAATATATATACTAGTTCAGTGATAATGAACGCCAAGTCTGATTAGGTAGGTCATACTCGTGAAAAAGAGGACTGGATTATCATTATAAAAAACATCAAACGTAAGGGAAACAACTGTCATATTCCTTACTTGGAACAGGCATATCCGATTGTAGAAAATTGTGGTTTTATAGCTAGATAAACCTGTTTCTTGTATGGCAGTCGCATAAAAGTCTATTATATTGATAGCCATGTATGAACAAAAAAAACAGATGTAATAGGTAAAAGGTCAAAAATTGGGGCACAGCAGTCAAAAGTTTCTTAAAATCATAATCGTAAAGCATACATTGAACAAGAATTAGACAAATATATAATAAAACTATGATGTAGCTATTTTCGTTCGAATAACTTAATGAATCGCAAACATTATTTTACCTTTTCCTAATCTGAGGAAGTTGCATTTTGTATGAACTTTTCGATTAAATGTATAAAACCTATAAAGTTAGTATACGCATCTCGTAAGCTGAAAACAGTCAAGGTGAACAATTATTGATAAGGGAAACCGATTTATAATATTCAAAAACACTTGATCTTAAATTGGTGGTGCAGGTTTCACTTTAAAAGTATTATCATATTTAGTAAGCACGTAATTTAATAAAAAAAAAATCAAGCTTAAAACTTGTTTAAGGTGTAATAAATGTGTATGTGCTTTGTCGTTATTCAATATGACCTTCTATTTCCTCATGTGTAATAAGAAAATTATGTTTTCAATATAAAGGTAATTCAAAGAAGGGTAAATGGTTCCGTGGATTTCTATCGAACCTGGAATGAATACAAGCATGGATTTGGTAGTGCTTACGGAGAATATTGGTTAGGTACTTAAACTACTTTTTGCACTTCTATTCACATATGTTAGAAAAGATTGTTATGTACAACACCTTTAATAGGTTCAGTGCGACGACTTAAAGAACATCCGCCTCAACCAGAAACATAAAAATACAACCAAACAAATATCTAAAAGCAACAAGGACGGTCCGAAATTAAAAATTTCTTGCTACAGTTAGAGGACAGAGCCTTAGCAACAGAACAAATGCATTAATTATATACAAACTAAGAAAATGAGAATATCTTGCTACAGTTCACAGACAGAACCATCAAAGAGTTGTTTCTTTAATATTTTGGATCTCACAATGTGTTTGTCTAATCTTGTAAAAGAATTGCGTCCTAATAAGTCGCTCGCCCCAAATATAAAACAAATTACTTTAAAGGCGATTCTAGTAAACAAAAATAAGTGAAATGTGCAACATAAACATATATCAACTGCAATGATATAAATAAAAAGACTGTAATGGCTGATTATGATGTTCTCATGTTTTTGACCTGTTTCAGAATGTCTGTCCATTATTGACCTACATTTTGTTATAGATAGCTAGCTAGTTTAAAAACTATTTCGTGAAATAACAGTTAATTTTCCTAACTTTGTACGTAAATTGTATATAATTGGTGTATGTAAAATAAATTGTTTAATGCTAGTTACTTATTCGTTTCCTTAATTTGAATGAACAATGAATATCAAATGAAGCAAAAATATTATTTAAGAATTGTAGGTTCAACAACAACTTGATTAGTTTTTGGCTGCTTATTGCTCCTGAGTATCTCATTTTATTTAAACAAATAACTTAAATTGCCAAGAGCTTACAACACATTGAGTATCGAGGGTGTACCAGTCAGTGTATAAAAGAGGGGCGAAAGATACCAGAGGGACAATCAAACTCATAGATCAAACATAAACTGACAACGCCATGGCTAAACAAAAAAGACAAACAGACAAACAATAGTTCATAAAACACAAAACATAACACAGAAAAATAAAAGACTAAGTAACACGAACTCCCCCAAAAACTGGGGGGGGGGGGGGGGGGGTTCTCAGGTGCTCCGGAAGGGTAACCAGATCCGGCTCCACATGTTGTAACCGTCGTGTTGCTCATGTTATTAGAAACCCGGTAAATAGTCTAATTCGGTAGGTCGCATTCGTGAAAAGGGAACGGCATTGTAGTTACGACATTAGGAACATATCCGATATCATCTGTGAAACGGATATTCCATAACGGTCAAACAACTCGTGATGGCGTCCGTATAACAATTGTTTCTAATAGGTCAACCAAAGCAGTAAATTTAAATAAATCCGCCACCTCAATGATCGATCAAGTCCAGGAAAATTCTGCCATGACGATTTTTTTATGATCTTCTAATAATCTACATGAATGGAATGTACAAAATATAAATGACAACTGAAACTGCAACCTGTAAAATAAATTCAGAAACAGAAAGGTTTAAAGGGAGGGATGGGGTCCAAACTCCTTGATAATTTTCCAACAACTAACAATTTTGTACATTGGAATTTCTTTTTATGTCTATTCGAATATAAAAGCAAGAAACTCTTGCAAACATTAAGTGCGAAACGTCAACGGTATTGTATAAATTCCTGTTTATAAAACTTTGAATTTTTCGAAAAACTAAGGATTTTCTTATTCCAGGAATAGATTACCTTAGCCGTATTTGGCACAACTTTTTGGAATTTTGGATCCTCAATGCTCTTCAACTTTGTACTTGTTTGGCTTTATAACTATTTCGATCTGAGCGTCACTGATGAGTCTTATGTAGACGAAACGCGCGTCTGGCGTATTAAATTATAATCCTGGTGACTTTGATAACTATTTACACCACTGGGCCGATACCACTGCTGGTGGACGTTTCGTCCCCGAGGGTATCACCAGCCCAGTAATCAGCACTTCGGTGTTGACATGAATATCAATTATATGGTCATTTTTAAAAATTTCCTGTTTACAAAACTTTGAATTTTTCGAAAAACTAAGGATTTTCTTATTCCAGGAATAGATTACCTTAGCCGTATTTGGCACAACTTTTTGGAATTTTGGGTCCTCAATGCTCTTCAACTTTGTACTTGTTTGGCTTGATAACTATTTTGATCTGAGCGTCACTGATGAGTTTTATGTAGACGAAACGCGCTGCTGGCGTTTTAAATTATAATCCTGGTACCTTTGATAACTATTGTAGACATTGTTTGTATAATTCTTACCTGAAAATAAATCAATGATAGTTTTGACAATAAAAACAATAAATGAATTTAATAAATAGATGATTGAATAGTATTGTCGACATTGCATTGAAAACAAAAATGAACTGAGAAAAACTATGACAAGATGGCAATCAATATTTTCCGATCATACTTCTTGTTTTGTCAGGGTGAACCGATTTGATCGAAAAAGGGAATTATTATATGGTTTTAAAAAGTTATTCACACTATTTTTTGAATAATTATGAAAATGAAGTTTGTGTCAGATTTTAACAAATCCTTAATTCAATCAAATTGGTTCACCTCGAAATCTGCCAGATGGAAAATAAATTATTTCATAACTGTCTGATGAAGAGTGTAATGCGTAGGATATCAAAGGGACATTCAAACGCAAAAGTCGAAAGTAAACAGACAACGCCATGGCTACCGAAAATGGCAAAAGTACACAAAACACAACATAGAAACTAAAGACTGATCAGCACGAACCCACCCAAAAAGTGGGGGTGATCTCATGTGCCCAAGAAGGGTAAGCAGATTATGTTCCCCATGTAACAGTAGACTTAATACTCATATAACTACTAACTCGGTGATTAGTCTAATTTGGTTGATTATGTTCTGTGAACGGGGGACTGGATAGTAGTAACGACAATTGGAATATATTCGTTGTCATCTGTAATACTGATATTCCATAACGGTCAACCACAAAGTGATGTCGTCTTTAAAATTTACGAAGGAATGATTTCAACTTCATCACCTTGTGAGCAGCAACCCTCTACCAAGAAAACCAGGAAAGAATAACAAGCCCAAGAATATCGTATCAACTGTGAGATCTATACTCCATATGCAGGCCCTGCTGGAATGTTGCTACAAAAAAATTGAAAGTTCACTATTGGGAATCTGAAAACATCTCGTAAGTCGTAAAATAAGTTTCAAACGACCCTCATTGTCAATTTCTAGATATAAACCAATATAAGAATGGTCCCATTTTTGTTTGGTCTAATACGAAGACGTATGGAAGATCACCTAGCTACAAAACTCTAAACAAAAACTAGAATTTGACCAATATTAAACTGTCGAAAGTGAGAAAGAGAGGATAATATCAATTGTTCCGGTTTCATAGGTAGCACTTAGCGTGTTATATTTGGCATCGATCAGATATATATTTGGGAGAAATTTGAATTCTACGTATTTCTTAATTACTTTTTTTTAAAACGATCAATAAATTCTCCAAAAATACTGAAGGTTGTACTCATATTAAAGTAAAATACCTTATTTTTCTCGATTAGACTGGCCGAGGCAAATAGTTAAAAAAAAAAACTGAAAAAGCTATTGTATATTACATGCTAAGAAAGAAAACCGACTATAAGTCGAAAACAAAACCCACAAAAAATTACAAGGAAAAATAAAAAAAAACATGGGTTAATTCAAAAGAAACCATTTGAACTTGTAGCTGTTGCACAAAGATGTCTTTAGATAATTTATATTGATATATGTTTTAAGGAAATAATTATATCAATTTGATATCTACAAACGGTCGTCACGAATTAAGTATATATATGGAAAGAACCGACGTAGGACACCACACTGCAAATTATTCCACATTTAAAGTCAGCGATGAACAATCCTTGTATATTCTTACAGCGACAGGTTATAGCGGAGATGCCAATCGTAAGTTTGTGAAAAAAAATGTTAAGCAGACAAGTATTCTTTCACGTGTGTATTTGTTTGCAATTAGATAAACTTTACTTATAGTGAATAATTAGATGAAAGCAATTCAAAAATACTAACAAATGGAGTACAATATTCTGTAAAACTTCTTTTGAAAAAGTTGATTAGTACATGTAGTAAGTTGTAATAGGCGACATTAAGTATTCATACAACATTCTTTTTTATGTCTTTATAATCTCATATTTTGGATAACATTATTAAAGTCAACAGTCCTTAAAATACTAGTATCGAAAATCAATGTTTGATAAATGAATCAAAATTTTAAACGAAACGAGACATGCATTTTTTTGCTAGGAAAAATCAACTACATGTACCAAGTCAGGAATATTGTAGTTGTTGTCAGTTCGCTTGATGTGTTTGAGCTTGTGATTTTGCCAATCGATAAGGGACTTTCCGTTTTGGTATTTTAGTTATTTTACTTTTTAGAAAATGATCCAGTCAATTTTACGTCGTAATGTACAATGACTTAAATGAGCATGATTTGATATCATCACAAAACTGTAAATTTTATTTAAATGATTCTGCTTAGTTTGTTTTAACTTTAAAATTCAACATCAAATTCAATGACGTATACCTGATAACGATATTTTTAAGGCCATCTTTAACTGTAATAGTTGTTGCAGAAAAACTATTAGAATTAGTTTTTGTAGAACATTTAGACGAGTGTATTTTCATTTAAGACGAGACTGGTATTTACATGGCGTCCCTTTTAAGGGTTTTTGTTAGCTTATGATTTCCTGTATACAAATGGAGAATTTTCATCGTCCACATGAGAGCGGGCTTTGTGATTCTTTAAATCTTTTTCTTGAATTATGTAGGTTTACAATAAGGATTTTTGCTGGTAATTCGAAATTGTTTTGTTAGACAACCTACGTCATGATTTTTGCACACATAAACAACACTTGCTCGAACAGAAAATACGTTATGTTCAACTGGTTAACTGGACTGATGATGATATATAACAACATGAGGAAGACTGGATTCTGCAATAAATGATCACTATAAAACGGAACAAGTAAATCTACATCCTGTTCCTGTCGACATATTGTTTCTGATTTGTACATGTGTCGATATGTCAAGTTTAGATAAGTTGTGACTGAGTTTAAGAAGGTTGAAGGAGAAAAACATCAGCAGTACTGACTTTTTGATTAGTCGAATATTTTTATTACCTTGAACTCTCAAATAAAGTCATACCTGGATTAAATTGGTTTAGTGGAGTAAGCTCTCTCTAATTATATCTGTTAGAGTTTTATATTCATTGTACTGAGAAAAACAACATGATATAATAAGTCAACCATTACGATACTTTTACGGTATCACAGATACGAAAAAGCAACTTCACGTATACAACTATTAGGTAACAATTGATCAAAGAATGCTGATTTTGGAAGAAAACAATTTCAAATTAATTCTTTTTATTTTCATGCAGAACAAACCTTAGAAATCTTAGAACAATACTGTAGAAGTAATTTGGGTACGATCAAAATGAAAAACTAAACATGCATTGTTTCTAAAAAATAATCATGGTCATTGCAGAATAGTATAATGTAAAAAGAAAATTTGAAGTTATCTGCTGTAGTCAGTAATACAATTTCTTATCTTTTATGTAAAAAATAAGGAGATGTAGTATGAATACCAATGAACCAACTATTTAGCAAAGGTCAAATGTGAGTGGATGTAAGCAATAATGAACTACCGAACGGCCTTCAACTATGATAAAACTCATACCGTAAAGTCGATTATAAAAGGCCCCAACATAAACAAGAAAATAATTCAATTGAAAAAAAGAGACAGCCTAAATATATTACAAAATCATGACTGCATTGTCTCTCTTTTTTTTCTGATTCCATAAATAAATTATGTTTAAGTATTTGCATCATCTTTAGAATCATTTGATAAGACTGTCGTACAAGTGAGAGGTTTAGCGCTATAAAACCAGGTTCAATCCACCATTTTCTACATTTGAAAATGCCTGTACCAAGTCAGGAATATGACAGTTGTTGTCCATTCGTTAGATGTGTTTTGTCATTTGATTTTGCCATGTGATTAGGGACTTTCCGATTGAATTTTCCTCGGAGTTCAGTATTTTTGTAATTTCACTTTTTTTTGTAGCTGACTGCATAGATAATGGTGATGATAACAGCAAAGCTAATGGTAGACCTTTTACAACTAAAGACAGGGACAATGACATATATAGTGGAAACATGGCAGTAAAATATAGGAGTGCTTGGTGGTACAGTAAAAGTTTGAATTCAGACTTCAATAAAGATTATTCGGGCTATTTAGGCAACATGCATTGGGGGTCTTGGAGAAGTGATATATCGAAAAGTGTAATGATGATTAAAAGAACTTATTAAATATTTTATGTCAAATTTTCTAGATATCAAACTTTCTCTTTTTGATTATCCTTCATGAGCACCTGAAATCACTCCCGGTTTTTGGTAGGGTTCGTGTTGCTTCGTCTTTGGTTTTCTATGTTGTGTTTGGTGAACTGTTCTTTGTCTTTTAGTGTTTTTCTTTGTTTGCCATGGCGTCAATTTATTTTCGACTGAATAATTTGAATGCATCTTTGGTATCTTTTGCCTCTCTTTGAAGTTAAAAATCTCAATTTTAGGGAGGTTGATATTATATAGTGTAACAAATGCAGTAGACATTAATGCTGTATAAATCTCTGTGAGTATAATTTAGGCCTCCTTCGTTCCACCACACAGTCAATCGTATTGTCGTCCATTTTATTCATCAATAAAAAGATCCAAATAAACCTGATTTCAGCTACAAAACACATATTGCTAACGCTAAAGCAAGACATTGAACTTCATTTGACTGAATAAAAACTGTAATCGAATACACCACGAAATTATCCTTTTAGCTAGTTAAACGAGAAAAAGGATATTGATTAAGCAGCACTTAATTGTTCGCCTTCATTGCTGTGAATAAACTCACCATAAATACCAGGATTGAAATAAATATTGCTAGTAAACAAAAATGCATTAGTTTACACTAACAAACAAATTTTAGTCTGAAACGGTAAAAAGTAAAATCACAAAAATACCGAACTCCGAGGACAATTCAAAACGGAAAGTCCCTAATCAAATGGAAACATCAAAAGCTCAAACACATCAAACAAATGGATAACAACTGTCATAGTCCTGACTTAGTACAGGCTTTTTCTTATGTGAAAAATGATGGATTAAACCTGGTTTTATAGCTAGCTAAACCTCTCACTTCTATGACAGTCGCATAAAATTCCATTATATTGACAACGAAGTGTGAAAAAAACAAACAGACACAATAGATAAAAATGTCAAAATTTTGGGTGCAGCAGTCAACAATATTGTGTAATATTTTTTTTACTATAAGGCAAACAAATATGTAACAAAGAGACACAAAAAGGCATATAGACAAAACACATAAGAAAAAATAAAAGACAAGAATTTAAAAATATACCATAGCTCAATGAAGGGATGTATAAGTACAGAGCCGCATCATATGTAACAAAGAAACACAAAAAGGCATATAGACAAAATGACAAAGCACATTAGCAAAACTGAAAGACAAGATACAAAATTTAACTATAGCACAATAACACAATGACGGGATGTATAAGTACAGAACCACGTCATGTGTAACAAACAAACACAAAAAGGATATAGACAAAGAGCATTTGCAAAAATGAATTTTCAAAATAATTTTGATCTGAACAGCTTTTAAAAGATTGAACAATGAATGATTCCTTCATTGTCAGTTTTTATCCAGTGCGGTAAATTCAATACTGTTCAAACCATTCGCTTTCGGTCAATTGAGATATGTTCAGTATATGTTCAGACTGCCCAGTAGTTGTTCTTAACCTGTATAGATCATCAATTTACTGAGTTGCCTGAAAAGATACATAACAGTACTGAACTAACTGCAAGCGAAACGTCTAAACAGTACTGAAGTTACCGCGTTCAATTAATCTACAAATTGACTGAAAGATTGAAAATAACTTAATAATTTATTGCTCAGAATTTTTAGATGATGTCATGATCAAAATGACTGTTTCAGAATAAAATTTGTTTAATTGGGATATGTTTAATGCAACATTTGTTTATATCCAACTAATATGTCTAATATAAATTATTGCTTAGTGTTTTCTTTTTGCCTAACAGTTCCATAAAATAATCTTTCCCAAAAAGCAGATCAATTTGATTTTGTTTTTGCTGGAGGCTTTAATTTTTGGAGCACCTTGGATCTTTCTTATAATTTCATGGAGGTCGAACATATTTTCCTAATTGCTAGAAAAGTCGAAAAGGTACTAGATTTCCTTTACTTTCCTCAACTGACGTTATGCATATTTTTTACCTAAATATTAAAGAAACAATGACCCGCAAGCACAGATCGGGAAAAAAATTACCAACACAGAATATTCTCTCGCAGGACATTATTGCTAATGTGTACCAGAAACTTGTGACTTTTAGATGCGTTTAACTATCGTAAATCAATTAGGTGTCCGTTGTTATTCTGTGGTGTACATGTTGTAATGTACTTTTATATTATTTATTCATGTATTTCTCTGTCCTGAGTGTTCTGGTGTTCATTTGTACTGTATTCCTGTCACGTACAATATACTGTTGTCTTTTAGAGGTATTTTTAACATTGCAATATAAGCGGGAGGTTTGGCTAGCAATAAAACCAGGTTCAACCCACCATTTTTTTAAATGTCCTGTACGCAGTCAAGAACATGACATGTATTATCAAACAGTCTGTATTTATGTATGTTGGCGTTTGTTTTCATAGCACTTCAGTGTTTCTGTTGTTCCGTTGTTTTCCTCTTATAGTTGATGTGTTTCCCTCGGTTTTCGTTTGTGACCCGGATTTGTTTCAGTTAAAACGATTAATGACTATTGAACAGCGGTATACTATTGTTGCCTTTATTCAACAACTTATGAGCTGCAGTCAAAGAGACCATGTTTAAAAATGCCAAAAAGGTAAATATTGATTTTTTCTCTGGTTTGTGGGGACGTCTAAACGATAAACATCACACTGAAAGAATTTCAAATTAAATATTTTTCGAAACAACGGAAATGCAAATATTCTTTGAAATATAAGTACCAAAAAAATAACATAAATTGCACAGCATTCGGGTAGTCTAGTGTATACTATTCCATTTTTGCATTTAACAATAGATTTTATTCTGGGTACATGTTAAACTTCTGTATTATAGTAGTGATTTACTGGAGGCATCAGCACAGGGGATGTGAGTTGCCGTTCAATTACTGATGAGAGAGAAGGGTTTGTTGTAAGATGCACTCAAAATTCGGTAGATTTACAACTGATGGTGTAAAATTGGTGTAAATGCATGTTTGTTTTCATGTTATGATCACAAGGTTTATAATTAACTCAAACAAAAATCAATTAGTTTTGGTAAAGGATGTAGGCAATATACATTTTTCACAGAATCAACAAAACAGCTGTTTTCAACCAGAGATCCACGTTGATTTTGAAATCACTAGGTCAAGGTCGTAATAATTACAAGTAAACTGACATCTGTAAAGGAAGGGGTGTCTATTTTTTATCAAACGCTACTGATTGGATTACACATTACTTCGATTAACAGTTCCATACAAAAACCAGACGATTCCATTAAAGTTTGAAGTCTAACCTCAGAACTCAAGGTCATACTACTAAAAAAAAATTTGTTTTCTTCAGAAATTAAGTTCTAAATGCAAAATAATATACAGCATATTACAATCTTAGATATACAATCTATATATAGCGAAAAAGATCCTCACTAATATCTCCAAGATCAATGTCAAAGTTATTAAGAATTGACTGCGACGGCATTAACATGCAACAACAAGCAAAAGTTAAACATGCCCTTGACATCATTTTCATTTTGGTAGACCATAGATCTCAAATCAAATGACCCTAGGTCTCTTTAACATACGGTTTACAAGTTAAAATTATATTTCACTTACTTCAAATTAAAAAAAAATGAAATAACCCTTCTGATGTCACCGCATTGCATCGTTCAAAATTATTTGCGTCATACTAAATATGTAACGAGTATTGGAAACTTTTTGTTTAATATCTTTTATGGAAGTGAAGGTGTACTGCTTGCAGGAAAAACAGTGTTTGGGGAAATAACTCTTGTAAGTAAATATGATCGATAAGTGGTGTCAGTTTCAAAAGCGTATACACTTTTATCATATACCATATACAATATATCCATGATATCTAAGCAAAACGAAAAAAAAAGCACAAATAACATTGCCAGAAGAATATTTGAAATTATCAGAACATAATCAAAAGGTCTTTCCCTGAAAAACTGGAAAAACCGTATTATCCTTACGACAGTCAATGTTATACAACCTTCGTATGTCCGTTTATAATTTTTATCTATTTATGTTCAATAGGTATCATTTAGTGTATATTCCTATGATAAGTAGACAATCAGTTCACTTCTTGTATTCTTAAGTGTGTTCGCTCCTTTTGTTTTTGAATTATTGCCAGATATTAGGAATCCTCTGTTATTATCCATGTGGAGATCATCAAATAATTTTTTCATTACAAACCTGCTCGTGAATTTTTCATTGTTATTCAACGCAAAATAATTATCTAAGATACCTAGGACGATCTCATTTCACAAAAGATTTCTATTGTCTACTTATTGTACCTCGAACTTAAATACCCGGTGAAGGTCTTTAAGTTGAGGTTCAATTTACTAAAAGTTAATCGGGCATGACTAATTAGATACGCCTTCTTAAAATCAGGGGTTCCGAAATAGGATCGGGAAATAACACCCAGCAAAATATCATAATTTACAATTTTAGAAAATTTTTGATTCAAAGTGCTTTTGGTTGCTTTAATATATCCATTCAATAATCAATCGGTGGAAATACTAACCTGTCCCGAACCGAGAGATGTTAGCAGCAATAGGAATTTATTTAAATAAAAAGTCCATATCTCGTTTACTTATAGTGGCCGTTATTGTTTGTAAATTCATGACGTTCTGTTTTTTTGGCATTCGTCTACCGTGGAGAAAAAAGAGGGAAGGAGGTCTAGTTTTTATTGGTGGAGGAAGCCGGAGTGCCCGGAGAAAACCACCGACCTTCGATAGGAAAACTGACAATCCTAGTCAATTGAGATTGAAGTCGAGTGCACCCGCACGAGCGGGGTTCGAACTCACAACCTCAGTGTTGACTGGCTAGTGATTACAGTAGTAACTACTTAGACCACTCGGCCACAGAGGCCCCCCTCCCACCCCCCTCTCTCTCTCCCCCCCAGGAGGGCTAAAAGCTTAGCTTACGACTTCGATCATGATTCAACTGTATTCTATTACGGCATACGTTTTACTTCTGGCGAACGTTCTGCCTTATTGTAAAAAGTGGCACTTTAAAATTGTAATCATTTGCCTCAGGTTGATCAACTTTGCATCTCGTCGTAAATATGCATGACATATTTGCCACTTGACATAAAAAGGAGCAATTATTTAATCAGCTTCATTTAGTGACGTATAATCATTTGGTATCGGTAAATAATCGTCACCCTTGTGAGGAATAGGAATATGGTCACTTGGTCTTTTTTCCGACCGGCAGTAAAACGCTTGCCAAAGTGGGGCGTCCGTTTAGCTGTGCGGGATGTATCAAGTTTGCAGCCACGGCCGGTTGGGGACGTTAAATCCGATACCTCGTGTACAGAAAGTGCCACGCTCTTTGCACGTTCAGAACCCTTGCAACAAATCTTTGAGAGGTCCGTAGGTGGCCTGTTGCAAGGCAACATTTCTGTCCCTATCCAATATATCCTCATTGTCCAGTGGCAGTCCAAATTTCCCCGACCATCATCCCAGATGGCCTCTATTTTTACAAAACCTACCTATTGTATTTATTGTTAACTTATTTTCGTCCTGAACATTCATGAAATATTTGCCACTGGACGTTAAGCAACCAACAATCAATAAATCAATAAATAATTGTCTCAAACAGTTTTTCAATTTTTATATCTTATTTTTATTTAAGTATGAATTTTTAAGAGTAAATCTTTCTTTCATCATTTTTCTCTTTGCATTTTATCTTTTTTTAAACATTACAAAAACGTTGTCGTGGTACACACAAGGGGTTACATTGTACCCTTTAGCAAAACTAAAAGGAGTGGGGATAAGAACAGAAAAACAATCTTCATTGAGTGCCAATAACTCATATGTTGAAGCGAACAATGACGGCTGTCTCGTCTACGTGTCACCATTTGCTGTTGCAATTTTATTTATATCTCAGACTGGTATAATAGTTGCCATAAAAGCAAAAATGGATAAAAAAAATGTTGACAACAATTTATTAAAGGATTCAACTTATTTTGGGCGTTTCATTTATTTATTTTTTAGATATTGTTTTGCTAATCGGTTTCGTTATATTTTTTTTATCATCTACAATTGTCCTAGCAAAATTCGCAAAAAAATGTGTTAAAATCAGCCATGCAACTTATTTGAAAAGATTTAGCTGACCTTTCATGTTGATTACACATTTCGATCATTCAACTCGTGCATAGATCGTTTTTTCCCCTAATGTTTTTTTTAACGTATAGATAGCATGAATTTCTCACTACACCGGGAATCTGATATACATTCCTATTTCGATGGGACAAAACTGCGTATTTATATATCCGATAAGCCAAACAAACGCACCCATTTAGTAAGGGTATACTGTGGGACGGGAGAGGTCTCGAGATGTCAATATTTCTATACCCAAGTGAATCATTTGATTTTGAATAAAAGGTGATAAAGATATACTGTACATTAATGCGAGAGCAACACAAATACACAGACATATCAAAACATTTATAGTCAACTTTCAGTCTTTTTTTTTTATAGAAAGATCCGTATACAGAGAAATAATCAGTGAAAACCGCCTGACTTAATAATAGTTATACGGAGTTAACTCAATAATAATTACCGTCAAATATTATATATCCCAAAAGTCACATTTGATTTAATACTATTTACCGTCAAAGATATCCCAACAATCACTAGTCTCTGGTTGAAAAATTTCACCTGCCCTATTTTAATTTTGATCGG